GATCTAATTGGCAGAACAATAGCCCAGCAAGTGCGTTTTATAACTTTGTACATTTCTTAGCCGTCCTTTGCAAAACAACAACGTGAAATCACCAAAATTTGCGTCGTCTGCGAAGCGAAACCGCGGCGGCGAATTATTTTAATTTACATTTAGAACTTAATGCTACTTTTATGCGTTAGGTTGAGTTTGGGGTCTGGCGCCTTATAAGAAGGTAAACACATGCAGCCATTTTCGATATTCTAACTAAAAGTAGGAACTCGTTTTTTAATTGACGTCTTCAGTGGCGTTACCGTCCTGACTGCTTAAAAGTCCCTATTAGTGCGTGGGGCAGTTTTTTTTTTCAAAATGGCGGCGTTTGTGTGCGCAAAGGCTTCTGGGCGTTCGAGAATATGGATCCTAGGCAAATTCGGTCGGTTTCAACCAAGCTTTTTGTGGCCTGGGTACAATACAGCCGATTAAGGCACCTTTTTTCAGATTTTCCAGTTCAGTGGCTTCCTGTTGTTATGCATTGAGGATAATTTATTGAAAACTTTACGGAGAAATTGACTATGATTGGAGTCAAAACTGTCAGAGAATGTTCAACTGAAGAGTGCCCGAGGTAGTGCCGTTATATTATGTTTTTCTCTGAATGTAAATACTTTCATTAAAATCGAAAGTCATACGAAGTTTGTTCGATGTCTATTCTTATTGAATATGTACATATTTATGGTTTTTTCCCAATGAAAAAATAATTTCCATGGGTTCTTGGGTTAAGCTCGGGTGGGCGAAAGCAACGCTTCCCGCTTGCCGCATACAACCGCCTAAAGAAGGAGAGAACGCAAGCTCTAATTGAATGCGACGGGAAAATAAGCAGTCTGAGGTCACAACTAGATGAAAAAACGACGGAACTTGAAGCTTTGAAGTCGAAACTTCACAAAACTGAAGAGCGTATTCGAAGAGGAAAGCGAAAGGTTGGTTCATTTCACTTATTTCTGATCATTGCTCGTCTGATTGCAATGACAGCGATCATAAGATTCAGTAACATAAATAGGTTGTTTTGAATGCTTGAATTCATAAAATAAGCCCAAGTTCCCCCTCAAATTATACGAAACTAGCAGATCATAGAATTTACAGTGAGTCGGTGACAAATTAAAGTCAAAAAAGTGTATAAATTTATCCTGCACAATGAAAGTCTTCGTTCGCGTGTGTTTTACAAGTTTGCATGTGCGGGCTGTAATGCCTGTTATGTCGGCGAAACGGCCCGGCATTTTTCCACACGCGTGCGTGAGCACTTAGTCAGTGATAGGGCCTCTCACGTTTTCAAACATCTACAGAATTCTGAACATTGTCGCGCCTTGTGTTCAGTAGATTGTTTCCATATCTTAGATCACGCTTCTACAAGTTTCCAACTCAAGATAAAAGAAGCTATTCACACTAAAAGAGAACAACCTTCTTTGAATCAACAATTACATCATGTAAATCTAAAGCTATCCTTATAATTTT